ATGTGATTTTATGCTCTGATTAATATTAATGACTAACAAATAATTACTCAATTTAAAGATTTAGAGGGTTAAATAAAAGTTACTGATATACTTATATATTTATATTAACGATGTATTGCACCTTTTTTGATAGATTAACTCAACTCAAAGGATTAAATAATTAGATAAAATTACAATTATTAGTGATTTTATATGAAATCTTTAACATTTATTTATAATTTTCTGAGTCAAACAACTGAAAAAAACTAATTGCATATCAAGAATGAAACACGGATTTGCATTTCTTTTCTTGAAATTAAGTTTGGTTTTTTGCGATGGGGTGTTACAAAAATGAGTTCCACACGGCCGGTTAACATATATAGTTTGTCATTTTGTTTATTTATTCTTGACAATGACCTCCACATAATATAAAAAAAATCAACTTAATGATTTCTTAAAGCTAAACACACCAAAACAAAAATTTAAATATAAAAACAAACGGTGTCTAGCAAGTGTTCAATATAATTCTACATTTATAATTATATTTATTATATTCTTTTATCATATTCAATTCTCCTACATATCCTTTAATCAAGTTTTTCTCCCCTGAATTGATAAAATTATATATGTGTGTGTGTGTGTTCTGTTTTTATATTATCTATCTGTTTTCTTGGGCTTTAGAAAAAAGAAAACGATAATTGAAGCCTAAGAAGGCCCATACTCATTATTGATGGGCCTTCCATCTATCTGTCCTTTTGTTTTCTGTTCCCTTTAAATTATGAAAATCAAACGGGTCGTTTCAGTGGGTTTAAGGGCTTGCCTGAAATGGCAAAAACACCAATTATTTTAGCTGAAGCCTAGAGAAGGCCCATCCTCTTTATGGACCTGGTGGCATTACATATAATTTGGGATTCTTTTCACGTTCCCCTTTGCCGTTCAAAATCGAAGAAATATCTTATCTTGCGACACCAATTATTTAAATAAATAAATTTAAAAAATAAAATTTAATAAATATATTATCTTGAAATATTAAATATTTAAATTAATGTTTTTTATATTTTTTTCTTAATTTTTTTGATTTATATGAAGATTGATGCCTTTTTTTTCTTTCATTTTGTTTAGAGAGTCTCTTATAAATGGCATGTATTTTTTTTTATTATGCATTTAAATTTTAAAGAATTTTTTTATTCATTTTTATTTTTTTTATATTTTGTATAGATGAATTTTATTTTTGAAAATTAAAAAATTCTTTTTATATAATATTTCTAATATGTGCATCCTTGAATAATTTAATTTATTTTATTTTATTCAATAAATTTAATTTCTCCTAAATTTCTCAATCTATATCTTTTTTTTAATTTTAATTTTATTTATCATTTATTTTTTTTATTTAGTAACACAAATAGCTCTTGATCTTATTTGATTATATTTATACATAATTTTTTTTTTTTTTCATTGAAATATTTTTTTAACTAAAAAAAACATGTTGAAAAAATCTATGTATATAAGTTTTTTTTTTGAAAAAAAATATATGATCCATAGCTCATTTCTAGGATCTAGTGAGACCTCTTGTTCAATTGCGCACATGAAATTGTGATATGATAGGAATTTCTGTGGAGATCATGGCATTATAATATATGTTACATATACTGTTTTAATTTTTTTCCCCTTTCTTCTTCTTTCCCCCCCTTGCTCTTTCTCCACGTGGAGTCTCTCATTGTTTAATTACCAGATGCCTTAATTTGTATTAAAAGTTCGTCCCTTTATTTTTTTTTTTTTTAAAAGAGTGCATGCGGGAACAAGTGAAGGCCCATGTTACTAGATATATTTGGGCTCCCTTTATTAGTTTCAACTGGGCTCCACAACTGGGCTATAAGTCTGGATTGGGCCCGGGTGCCGGTAATCGTAGTGAAAAACATGATTGTGCCGGTATCGTATATTGTTTAGACAAGAAGGGAAAAAAGGAAGCCCTCTTCAACTACCTAATGAATATTGGTTTCAAAACTCTATATGGTTAGAATAATCATTAAAAAATGTGATGATTTATTTATAAGTATAATTATAATTCAAAATCATAGTTTAGAACATATTGTAAGGTTTATTTTATAAATTAACCTAATATATTCTGGCATGAAATGACAAATCTGACATAATTCATTAGTCATTATACATTATACTTCATATATATGGTGGGTCATTACAGTTCAGGCAAGCAGTACACCTATTATTAGGAGACTTCGATTAAAACCAATAACTATGTTCAAATACAACAAGATTTTATATTAAGAGAGAGAATAACTCTTTATATATATATATATATATATATTATTTAACCAGGGCTTCATCACAAGTTTTTTTAAATAATTTTCTGTTAGAAAATTAAATCGTTAGCTCTCAGAAAACATCTTTTTAACAATAAATGGATTCAGAAGTCAAAGGAAGATGCATTTTTAACTAAAATATAATTAAATAACAAAGCATACACAAAACATATTTTAATTATGCATGTTTGAAAATGTGGTTATGGTTATTTTTTAAAATATTTTTTATTTGAAAATGTATTAAAATAATATTTTATTTATTTTTTAAAAATTATTTTTTACATAAACACATTAAAATAATATAAAAATAATTTGAAGTAAAAAAATAAAAAATTTAAATTTTTTTAAATACTTTTAAAATATGAGAGTTATTTCCTACACAACAAAAAGTGGACTTAACAGAGTTGGTGGAGGAGGTTTTAGAACAAAGCAAAGTTCTATAAATCTAAACAAAAAGCATGAGTCTTCGAAAATATAAATTATAATATGTTTAAAAGAAAAACAGTTCAACTGGGCATGGTAAGCATATAGCTTTGCAGGCTTGATTGAAATACAGAGCAAGGATTGCTGACGTGAACCACTGATTAGCCTGTGCCCTTGCAAAATCCCGGAAATGTAAATGGAATGCTAGTTCCCTTACATGAAACTGTAACTACAATTGTTGATTGTAGATAAATTAATGGAAGATATAGCTGAAAGAGAAAATGGAACGATGATGGATAAGAAGCCAAAATTACTGTGGGTGAAAGGAACACCAATATATGCAGAAAAAGAAGCAGGAATGGAGCAATCAAGATATACAAAGAGCAAGTATATTTTAAATGAGAGCACAAACAATTGTTCAAGGTTGCTTTTCATCAAGATACACCAAGATAGACAAAATCAAACTGTGTACCTAGATTTTCTATGACAAACCAATGAAAAATCTGTGATCTTCAAATATCCATGTTGTTTTTCATCTCCCTGTGTTTCATTACATAAAGTTTAAAGATTCAACCTTGACAAAAATAATGTAGCAGAGCTGAAAGGCTAAATAGAAAGAAGTGAGCGAATGATGAACCCTACAATGAATCAACTGTGATAAAACAAAACATTGTTATCCAAACCAGGCTGCCAACAACAACAACGTGCAAGAAGCATGCCAAGAATGCATTTGACCCAGAAAGCAACGCACGAGGCCCAAGTACGAACATACAGAACAATCCAAGATGAAACAACAATGAAGGGAAAAAATAGAAGGCAATGAGAAGAACCTGCCAAAGTTCCAGGAGAGGGGATCAACAGAGAAGAGATCAAAGTCCAGCAAACAAAAAAGGGAAGCAATCCCTCAGTGAAACAACGCAAACCGCACAAGTCTGCATATTCAACGAAAGCAACTCAAAATACTAAGATGACCGCAAACAAAAGCAAGACAACACAAAGGTATCTAAGCTAAGGAACAGAACATCGCGAATGCTGCAACTAGAAAAACTCAAGCAAGAATAATTTCTACCTAGAAAGAACACTCAGAAAGAGATAGACATCAGTCTCAAGAAAGATGAACCCAAAAAAACGAAGAAGAGATGCAAACGTAAACACATCCACTCTCCAATGAACAAAAATGAGGTCAAAGCATTGGAAGTCCAAGAACAACAGTAGCATAATACAATAATAATTAAAAAAAAAGCAATGAAACAGGATCCCTAATGACGTACAGGAAGCAGTAAGAACAAACAAACCAGAACAGTACTGAAAACCAACCTGGTCACAACAGAACAGGTGTAAAGGAAAAATAAGAGAGGCAAAGCACTGAAAATCCCCAACTGATCATACAGATTAAACAGATCCATTGCAACCCAATGTTACCCAGGAGACAAACACTCAGCCAAGTAAGCATAACATTTAATGCACAATCATTTCTCTGGGTCCACTCCTCTAAAACACGAGACACGACCAAACCAAAAAAACCAGCAGGAACCCTAGCCTAAGAAAAATCACATAATTGCTTTCCACTCAAGACAACATAGTCAACACTTCAGAAGCAACTCACATGACCATCTGAGCATGGAATAATGAGCCTAGATCTCGCGGGAAGCAGACAATCCAAGGAGAACTGTGCAAGTCCACAGTAAAAGAAGTCATGCTCTCCAGTACACAAACAGTTTTTGCCCACATGCTTAGAGTTTAAGGGCAGTTTTGAATTACAAAATGGTAGTTAGTACTCTCTTTCTTTAATCTTGCATAAACTGATCTTAAAGAATTAATTTGGAGTTGAGACTCAACAAATATAAATCCCAAAACCGTCTGTCGATCTTTATAGAGACAATTGAATGCTACCTAAAGGTATAGCACAAGAAATTGCAAAATAAATAAATAAATAAAAGCAAATTATATTGTTCCTAGCCATCAATGATCAATCTCTTTGGAGTTTTTCAGGCTTGTTGCTGACAGCCGAAAGACTAAAGAATCCTAAATCAACAAACACAATTTTTTTCTTTCCACACAATTTTTTTAATACACGTTTCTTACAACATAAGCAATTATATGATGATAACTATTGAAATTCAACAATGCCTTCTAATATAGGTTACTTGGAGACTTAAATTAGTTTGTAAACAACTTGATGTTATAAAAGGATATTTTTCAAATTCATTATATTTCTCATTATCAAATAACTGTCTCATTAATAAATCAAATTAATTATTATAAAAAAAAGTTGTAGACAAAACTGGAAAATATCCCTAAAGAATTGGATGACCCCACATTGTGCTTCAACCCTTTTATTTACATTAATTGAAAAATAACAAACACAAGAATAGAGCTTGGAATATTAAAATTCCCAAATAAATTTAACATTAATTCACGTCATTTCCGATGCTGCCATGTCCTTCTCTCTCTGAATTTTTCCGTTCCATTATACCCATCATAGTCAGTGTCATCTTCATATTCCATACCATTATAGTTTTGTTCTTCATCTTCATCAACCATGTCTTCCACATCCGACACCCCTTTTGTCCCCTCCAGGCCACCATTCAGCCATTCCACCACCTTCATCATGCTGGGTCTGTTCTCCGGGTTGCTATCGGTGCATCGCATCGCGATCATGATTGCTGTCTCAAGTTGTGCTCGATCATATCTTCCCTTCAACCTAGGGTCAGCAATATGATCAAAAGCACCCTTTTGGACATATGGGGTGACCCATTGAACAATGTCACGCCTAACCCCTCCAGGGAGCTTCTCTAATGGTTTTTTCGCACTGATGATCTCTAAGAGTAAAATTCCGAAGCTATAAACATCACAACTCTCTGAAACTTTCCCCCACATCGCATATTCGGGAGCCAAATATCCTAGGGTTCCCTTTACCCTTGTGGTCATGTGAGTAACCCCTTCTGGTATCAACTTTGCGAAGCCAAAATCTGCTACTTTTGCTTGAAATTCTGTATCTAAGAGAACATTACTTGCCTTTATGTCCCTGTGTATTATATGAGGATTGGCCTCATGGTGCAAGTACCTAATTTTCAAACAAGTGAAAAAATACATTTATAAACAAATTAATTTCTCGACAAAAATTGATGATTAATTTACTTACGCTATTCCCTCAGCTGATCCAATAGCAATGTTCATTCTCCGGTGCCAATCAAGTAAGCAGTCGACAGCGAGTTGGCCATGTAGATGGGCGATCAAGCTATGATTAGGCATGTAATCATAGACTATCAGCCTTTCATCTCCACCTGCATAAAATCCCCTCAAACCTAGCAAGTTCTTATGCCTCACCCTCCCAAGTATCTCAACTTCCACCGCGAATTCCATCTCTGCCTTTGCGCTCATTGCCTTCAATCGTTTAACTGCTATCTGCACAAGCAAATTGAAACATATAACTAACAATCCAAGAGAATAGATTATATAGTCTGTTATGCCTCAAAAAAACTATGTATCGAAAATTAAAGGAACAAAAAAGGTGGCCATGATTCTATGTATTGCCTCAATGCCAGTACTTGTCCGACCCCAGTAAACGCTTCCGAATCCACCTTCTCCAATCTTATTATCATTATGAAAGTTGTTTGTGGCATGAAGAATCTCCTTCAGAGTGTAGATTTCCCATGGATATTCCCTACTGCTATTATGTGCACTAAGAAAAAAGAGGAAAACTCAGTACAAATCATTTAATCTGCACAACCTTAAATTGCGAAAGTAAATGAAAAACCATGTCTAACGCACCTGATATTTGGTTCTTCTTTTCGGGCGGCACAACAAAAACATTCCAAAATCATTTTTTTTGCAAGATAAGACATGGCCAAGAAGATGTACAAGCAGTGAAAAGGAGCAAAGTGTTGAAAGAAAAGAAAAGGCGAGTCAAGCAAGTAGAAGCAGAAATATTGTCGAGTTCAAAACACCAGGGAAGGAGTCTAGTGGTGAAGACAAAATGCAGCCTTGTATTCCAGTGCTTTGTTAGTTTCTATAAACTATTAACACCCTTTTCTCCCATTGGAAATGTAGATTTACTAATTAATTAATTAAGAATTAATCTATTTGTTTAAATAATGTAAAATACAATTAGTCTATAAGTGACAATATATTGTTCTATTGAAAGAGACATGATGATTTCATTCGGGATGAATTTTGCTTAACCTCCTTTTTTTAGTGTTTTAATGCAGTCTATTAGAGTACCTTAACCTCCAAAGGAATTGAAAATAATTGTTTGAATAAAAGGGTTACGTTATCATTAATTGAAAGGGTCATACATCATCAAATCCAATTAATTACTATCAGTCTATTTCCAGCTTTTGGTGAGTTCAGCATATGCTAATAATATTTAAAATATATTTTTTATATTAAAAAAAAATATTTTTTTAAATATTTTAAAAAACAACTACTACCATCTAAATATAATCTAAATATAATCATATACGTTAATTAATATTGGTGGGATATGCGAAGGAATCAACCAACTTCGGCCTGACTTCTACATACTATCCATATTAAAAAAAATGAGATTGTAAACTTGTTGCTACAAAGTTTTCAACTTTTTAGACCCAGAAGAAGAAGAAAACAATCCATGTACATTTTGATTCTGGGTATCGAGGCCATTTGAACTACAGGTGCTCTAAAATTATTTTTTTAATTTCTCCATTGTTGTTAGATACTTTTTTTTTTCTGGTCTTCGATTCTGATATTCTGGCAACATTTGTATCCAAAAAAAAGAAGGAAAAAAGCAAAGTGAATTGGCCTGAAATGATTGTGGTCACTATTTCTCAATTAGGCCACTAATTAATCAATGATTAGTAGGCTTTGCATATTAATCCTTAAACCGATCTCAAGGCCTCAAGCCCATCATATTTGCAAACTTCCAAGAGCAGCCCATACCATTTACCTTGCCTTTGAAAACAACAAGGAGGCACAACAAATGTTCTATTCTATAACATGCAATTTACATACACGCATGTATACACCTTTCGATTGATTGGATTGCACAACAATAATTATAATCCTCTCTTTCATATTCAATTTTGAATTTTATAATGAAAAGCTCATTCTCATTATTTTATATTACTTTTTTTAAAAAGAATCTTTGCATCAATCTTTAATTTTTATTCCTTGAAGCTTTTTGCTGTTCGGTAGCTCTCCCTTTGACTTTTTGGGAAATTCTTTATAAACAAATTATTGATTTTTTATTCTAATTTGATCTCTAATCACATCACAAGGATATGTTCTAATTTGATTTGGTTTGAAGACCTTCCCCTTACAAGAAGGGTTATATATTATTAATTTCGACTGTGAAATTAATGGAATATATGCATCTTCCTCTTCGGAAACGAATGACAAAAATGTGAGCATATTTTGACATATCATTTGCTGTCTCCTTCCAAATACAATTATATGAAAGCAAATGGGGATATGTAATGAATTTAGGATGATTTAATTAACTGAAATTAATGTTTTCAACGCTTGATTAATTTTTTTTTGTTTTTAAATCATCTACAAATAGATTAAACATAAGTAGTGTACAAACACATAAGCCAAGAAAATTACATAACAAGATTAAAAGGGGGGAATGGATTGCTATGACTTGCGACAAATTCAGAGGATTTTAATTGTTAAAATCAATTCCATTCCGAAATGATAAACGACTATATATTGCTTTGATTAGTCCCACTCAATTGCTTGATTTCATCGACTTGAGACCTTGTTGATGCTCACCTCAGCTCCAAGCTTAATATCATTAACTGTGAGTAATAAAGATTCAAAACATAGATATTGGTTACATCGTACCATTAGATATAAGTACTGAACTTAATTAATGAAAAAATAATGAAGCTCGTATAGCCGAAAGCAATGCTTAAAATTCTCTACTTATAGGACAACAGTACTCTTGCAAAAACAAAGAGCTGAGATCTCAGATTTGAGTAATTAAAGCTTGGAGTTTAGTGAAAGCATTTTCCACACATTAATCTTAAAAATCAAGAGCAGTGCTGCATATTACAGTACAAGTAAGCTTACATAAATTATTACTTGAACCAACATGTTTGGGCCATAGGCTATACCAATGAATAGTTTAGGAGTGTTGGTGGGCTTCAAACCCAGCCTAATTTTTTTATAAAAAAATAAATAAATAATGCATCATTTCAATTATTATAGTGATAGCTGAAAAATTAAAATATTAAATTTTTTATTAAAAAATTTAATTTTTAAACCATTTTAATTTAAAATTATCGCATCAATATTTTTATAACACTCATAAGTTATTTTATGAACTCTAAATACCTATTAAATAATCTAGAAGATCAAAATCAAACTAAATTAATTTTAACTTATATTTTTTTTTATTTAATATTAAAATACAATTATCATAACGCTTATCTCATTTCATAAACCCTCAGCATAAAAAAAAAAAAACTCATTTTAATATTCGGAAATATAGTAAACGTTGACTTTCGCTTTCATTGTCAAAATCCTAACCAATAATTGAGAAATATTACAAATAAATAAATAAATAATTAAAATCAACCGAGTTAAGGCAGCAAAGCTCCAAATCCTAAAATAAAGCCATCACAAATAACGAAAGTTATCGTTTCTAGAACATCAATTGTAAGTCCAGATCCATCCCGATCTTCTGCAATAACTCAAACCACCCACAGAAGCATTAACAAAACATTTTTAATCTTCATGGATACCCTCAATATCACAACAGCCAAAAAAATATATCTGGAAGTAGCAGAGTTAAAAAGACGAACATCAGAACCAAGCAAGAAACTCATTTACTCTATTAAACTCTTGCTTGGCAAGATTGTCAACCATATGATTTGCTTCTCTTAAAACATGAAAACAAGACACAGAATCCAAAAGAACAGCATAACGAGAGGTGGAAATGAGCAAGTCATGATATTTCAAAGGTCTAATAGGATGCTTGTTCATCCAAATAACAACAGAGGCAAAATCAGAATCAATAATGAATTTCTTCCAAAAAAATCCATTCCTTGAAGAGGATAATTCAAGGGCTTTGATTACAATATGCAGTTCAGCCTCATTTGACTCCTTAATTCCTACAGAGACTAAAAAATAAACCTGATCCTTAAAGAGGATAATTCAAGGGCTTTGATTAGTCTGTATGATTGTAACAATAAACCTAATCCTTCTCCTATATATGAAAGCATATCTTTCATAAGAACAAACTCTTAAAAACTTATGGAGACAATGCTTCATGGGAGATCTAGTTAAGTTCAGTAAGTTCGGATTGGCTATCATTCCATAGCAAGGTCAACCACTAGATGGTACATGATGTGATTCCTAGATAATAGTAAAACGCCTTGCATCTCTCTCTGAAGGAATACCAAAACTAGTGAAGGTATATAGAAATGTAAGCTGTACACACATGCATGCATGAAACTACAAATGCAACCATTTCCCATGTACGAACTATGTATAGCTACATTAAAGTAAATGCAATTTTATTCAATACCAAGTAAGAAGATGATTTGATTTCAAATCATATATAAATGGTGTATTTTATCATGATTTTCAAATTGAGTGGTGCACATTTACATTAGATCCTCTCATGTTCTTGAGAACATAATGGATCGTGCTCCTAATAAAATCTTAACCATTGAAAATTGATTTATCTTCAATTCAAACAACTTCACATATTTTAATAACTATTAATTATCCATGTATGAACTCAAAACTTTCCTATGGATTTGAATATTCAAAGATTCAGATTTTATAGCATGACCCGTCATGTTTCAGGAACGTGAGAAGATCCAAATCTAAAGTTATATATCTCAAGAATAAACTTGTGGCCCTTTATGTTCATGCTCAGTCACTTATGAGTGTTCGCTTGCCATTAAGATATATCAGCCCTTGATGTTTTATGTTAGTGGTCTTACCAATTGAACCTGAAATCTTCTACTGACATAGTTTGCAAAGAGTTCAAGAAATTGATACGACAGTTACACACTTAATATCAAAAGAAGTTAACCTGCAAAGTTGAATCATATATTTGCAGCAAGCTAGCATATATAAGCACAACTAATTTAAATCTAGGGTTCATATATATACGAGGCCAAAATTAAGGGAAAAAAATGAAGAGAGAGAAGACACGAGCCATTTCAAGGCATGCAGAGTGTAATGTTGTCAATCACTCATATCTTGACAATGAGATCACATCAATTAGCTTTCTTTTCAGCCTATCTGCATCAATGCAATTCAGATTGCTAGCCTGCAAGGGAAATTCACCAATGGAAGACCAAATGTTGTTGGATGTGGTAGTAAAGTTAAAGCAAAGATCATTCAATTACAAAACTTGGAAAGAAATGAACTAAGGAAATTGCAATACCTGACATTGGATAGTGGTATAGTGCCTTTGACCTTTATGGGTTGAAGTACATCCAACAACATCAAATCCCTCTTCAAGCACTGCTTCTAGCACTCTTGATAGAAGAATCCCTTCCTCTCCAGGGCCTCTAGTTAAAACAATCTCCAATCCATCCAAATAATGGCAGACCGTAACACTGTCCAGCAAATTATGGTCTGAAATCTCAGTCCCTTGCTCAAAAGTACTTGAGCTGGACAACTTCTTGAGCTTATCTCTCTTGGCACTTAAATCTTGGATGTTACTCTTTAGATGCTTAATATATTTCACAGCCTCACTCATGTGATCAGAAATTGAGCGCTTTCCCTGCAAGATTTCCCAATATCAAGAAAAACCCTTAAAGCATGACCAAGTGTAGATCAAGAACACCAACCTCAGGAAAAAGAATATGTAGCCATTGAGACAATATGTGTAAATATGGTAATTGGGGTAGTCATTTATCACAAATATATATATATATATATTTTAATCTTTTATATATTCTTTTCCGGCCATAATTATGAAAACCTAGCTAGTAAAGTTATATGCTACATAATGAAGGAAGAAATTAAGTAAAGCAAAACAGTTTCATGACCTTGATTGAATCAGGAGGGAGGAGGTTTCGAAGTGAGGCATGAAGAGTGGACATTTGTTGCCTCCTTTGCCGTTCGATTTCCTTTCGAGCAACCTTCTTCTCATCACATCTAATATTTCCACTATCATCATTAGCATTTGAAGTTGCTAATATTGTATGTGCCTGCGGGAATTCTTCCACTGATGAGTTGGTTAGGTTACTAATTCCATGAAGGGAATCTTGGCCCAAGATCAGATGCTGATCTTGATCAATATCTTCTTGGTAGGGATTAGAGGAGATTTGGGACCAATATTCATCACTACTTTGTTCGAATGGAAACATTGGATCAAGACTAACTAATCAAGGATTTTAAGCTATATCTTGCTGCAATAATGGACTAAAGAATTGGATACGGTTGTTGTTACAAATGGTCCTCGATCAATAGTCTAATATAACAAGATTTCCCTCTGAAAAACATCTTAATTACGGTCTACATGGAGATAAAACGTGGCCAAAAGCTTGGTTTGTGGAGGCGCTTTTGCTTTGGCACTGGAGAAATGGCAACCCCATAGCATTCACATTTTGGTGGACCATCATGTCGGTCTCATATTTTGGTTTATGCATGCAAAGATAAATGACGAATTGCAGTGAAAAATGAAAGGAAACAGTAAAAGACCTAGGAAATTGTCTGGTTATTGTCTTCTCCCCCGTGTTTCAGATTCTACGCCTATATGTTTTCTTTTCTTTCTCCTTTTTTTTTTTTCTGTTGTCTCCTAGGCTATTCTTTTTTTAGCCAAAATCTTAATAAAATCTTGACTACTATCTTAAAAAAAAGACCTAGGAAATTTTATAAAACAATAATGATTATTCAACTTTATATTCGTGTGGACATGATCTCCCTTTATGTGTTGAAGATGACAAATTATTTTGATTTTAGACACGAGTCCTAGAAAGTACCGGCACAATTTCGTAAGACTTTAAACATTTTGGTGAGTTGGATTGAAAATGACTCGAGGCTGATCAGTGATTGCCTATTGAAAGGTAATGGAGTGTTATCATAGAATCCAAACATAAGTATAGATATTGAACTCGATTATTTCTTTTGTTCTTGGTGCTAAGACTCGATCGTGGTCGGTGCAATGCATGTGTTATAGTATATTGATTTACTAGAATATTGACATGCGATTCTATAGCCGATCATGTTATTATTTTTTTAAATATAAAAAAATATTTTAAAGTTTTTGATTTTAATAATTATATGAGACCAATCAAATTCGGTTTGACAATCATGATCCAAGAAACTTCAGCTTGGCGGTTATACCAAACTCGAGAACCTTGAATCTGGTGATCATGGTTTCTTGGGTCTAGCAGTTATGGAAGGCTAAAATGCCTGGGGTCTGGCGGTCATGTTTAATTCATTTTTTTATAATTTTTTTATTTGTTATAAAAAAAGCATTTAAACTATTTTTAAAGTATTCTAAATAGAAATTCTAATTAATTTTTTTAAAATATTTTTTATATTTTATAAAAAATATTTAAATTTTCCTTAAAGTATCCTAAACAGAAATTCTAATTAATTTTTTTTATATTTTTTATAAAAAATATTTAAATTATCCTTGAAGTATCCTAAACAGAAATTCAAGTTTAGAAATTACATATAAATAACAAATCATTACAAAAATTTAACCTAACATTTTAAATTTAAAAATGCAAACCATATTTTTATATTGAAATAGTTCATTTTTTATGTTTATAAATTTGTTATTTCTTTAATAAAAATTCTATCTTCTCTTTGTTTTACTAAATTTGTATTTTTTATATTTTTTACTCAAACTCATTGAAAAAAAATGTTTATTTAATGGGTGATTATTAATGATTTTTCTCCAATGACAATATTACTTTATATTTTTTTAACAATGCTAGACTACATGTGTTTAGTTTCATTATACAATTTATGTAGTTTTTTTCTTTTTATTTTTTATCATGTTTGTCTAAACCTTTTTATATGGATTTATGTTGCAAATGAGGTTTTTTTTAAAGATAAGACTCAAGTTGCTTGGGTCTAGTATACTATAAAGATGCAGCTTTATGTTTTTATACTGTAAAAATATAAATTCAATATTAAAATACTTAATATTTTCTAAAATATTGCAAAAAGAAATATATATATATATATATATATATAGAAAAACAAAAAAAAAACCTCTACATTTTATGCATGTGACCAAGTCTCTCAAAAATATTTATATTGTATTTCCATATTAAAAAAATTCAAAAAAAGATACTTATTAGCATGCACATTGGGCTTTAATAACCAATTTATTAAAGTCATGAGAACTAGGCCTATATTTTAATAATATTAAAAAAATATTTATTTTCTTTTAGTATTTAAGATTTCAAATTTATACATAGGACATATTCCCAACATTAGATAAAAGGATAGTTCTTTTATTTTTATATGAATATTAGAATGGTTAGGTTTTTATCTGATAAGACAAACATTTTCTTATTAAGAAGGACTTTTTTTAAACTTTAGATAGATCAACAATTATAAAACATAACAATATCTTAATTTATATTAGATAATTAAACGATGCAGTTTATCTTAGAAAAGACATATTAAGGGTGATAATATATTCTCTTTATACAACTAGTCCCCATGTCCAATTTTTGAGACCAGTTAGGGTTCCTAGTGATCAAAATATTAGGTGATGACTCTCATTCCCTCTTTCTACTGATAAATAAAAAAAAATTCATTGTCATGTCTATTTCCTCACACCATACCATGAATTTCAAAGAAATGATCGTCACGACACTGCACACATGCGACACTAATAATACAAAACAACAACAAAAATAATCATACTAATAATAGAAGATATAATTTCTATTAAAGGAATAAAAAATTCATAAACATAAAAAATAAACTATTCCAATGGGAAGAAATTATTTGAATTTTTAAATCTAAAACATTAAATTAGATTTTTTTGATGATTTATTGTTTATAAATTATTTTTAAACCCACATTACTTGGGTCTGACAAACATGTCTGACTTAGTTTACTTGAATAATTACAAAAATAAAAATAATAATACAAAAAATAATAAGAACAACAACAACAACCATTTAAGACACAAACATCTTGGGTTGAGCAAAACATGTCAAACTTAAGGTGACCCAAGGCGTTTGAGTCTGGTAACCATACGTGACCCAAGTTTAGTTGGGTCTAACAACATGCCACGCCTATATTACTTGGGTTTGACACACATGCCTGGCCCAAGTTTGCTTGGGTCTGCCATGTTAGTTGGGCCTAGCAAAACCAAGCATATGGGTTTGCAGCTATGCTAAACCCGCGCAGCTAGCTTTGCCATCAAACATGGTTACCAAACCTAAGGTGCTTAGGTTTGGCAACATATACAAAACCCGCGCTTCTAAGTCTGCCATCAAACATGGTTATGGTTGCCAGACCTAAGGTGATTGGGTCTAGTAACCTATATTAGACCGGCATGCCTGGGTTTGCCATCAAGCATGGTTACGAGACCTAAAATGTCTAGGTCTGGCAACTCATACGAGACCCAAGCAAACAACAAATAAAAAGAGAATAATTTTGCACTTTAGTTGTCAAAAGAATAATTGTGTACTTTAGTTGTCGAGAGAGGAAAAAAAACACAAATAATCAATCATTGGCGGCAATCTAACCATGATATGTATACACGACACAATCAATGTAGAAAAGAGCACGACTACACATTTAGTGACATGATGGCTGGTCATATTTGGTATTAGGCAGCGTCTCACGCACCTTTTTAATGGTGCGAGTGCTGCCCACTCGCTGGGACGTATGGAACATGCTCCAACAGTTTTTTAATTAAAAAATAAAAAATACAACTTGAAAATACTAAAATGCCCCCCATAATCCTCTTAATTACACAAAATACCCAAGCACAAATATCAAAATATCCCCAAAGGCAAAGCTTACTTTTTATCTTTTTTAGGCTAAAAACGTTATTTTCTTGTACTTGGAAATTGAAAAATCCTGGATATTCTTATGGAAGAAAGCCAAAGAAATGTTTATCTGCTCATGAAAAGATGAGAAATTGAAAGTGAAAATACCATTACAATCCACAGTGAAATGTCTTTTAATCTATAGTGATTTCCTAACACTATTTAGCTTTTGTTATAATTTCTTTGATTTTTGTTGTCACACCTAAACATCACGGCGATCATTTAAAAATTAATCGTTCGATTAGAAAAAGAACATATATCTGTCATCTTGTTCTTTTAGGAAAAAAGTCTTGTTCAAGGAGTCGCCACCTAGTATTATAATCACTAGGAACCCTAACTGGTCAACAGAGATTCTATAGTACAGGACTGGTTACGCAAAAGAAAAGATGTTATCATCCCTTAAGCGTCCTACCTAAGGCCTTGCATTGCTAGTTTTGTCTAAAATTGTTAAGAATTTGTTCTTCTTTTTTATTTTTTATTCTTTTTTTTTATGTTCTTGATTCTGGCATTAGTGAACAATTCCTAGAAATATTTTCAACTTTGGCATTGGTACATATCACACAAATCCAAAAAATACAATACTCTTGACTTTGGTGTCAATGAATATTTTCGCAAAAAATAAATTTGAAGAAGAAATTTTCTATGTTGTTTTTTTCTTGTTTATCCTTTATTATTATTTTCCCTTTTTAGATGGAAATAAAAAAAAACATTGCATGATATATTTGAATTTAACAGTAATAGTCCACAGATTGAGCACATCTACAGAAAAAAACAAACACAAAGAAAAAATAAAATAAAGTGCGGCCCACAAATAAATCAATGAAGGCCCCTAAATATCTTTGAAATTTTATGTTATCGAAAAGGAGTTTGTTTGGTCAAATATCAAATTAAAATGGGTTAAAAATTATGGCCAAGACATAAGAGTGTGTTTTGCCTAGCACACCCTTAACAAACACAATTTGGGCAGGCTGGGTCTAAAACCCAGAGTCGACCCACCTTTTTTTTTAAGGGGGGCTGGATCTAGCCTAGTGATGCAGGCTGGGCTAGACCCAGCCAAACCGACCTGGTTACTGGTTCAAACCAGTAACCCGGTCGATATATTTTTCTTTGCAAGCGTGCACGAGCTACTTGCGCACACTTGCTACAAGAATAGGGTAATTAAAAGTGAAAATGAGAGGGCGAAATGACTTACCTGTTGTTGGACTATTGTTGTGAATTTCTTGAGCGAAGATTGATGGAGGCACTCGCTGCTAAGAAAACTGGTATTATTTCTTTTGCATTTTTTTTCTCTTCGGTGCATACACTGAGGTTTGTATTTATAGTGTTAGAGTCTCTTCATGTGTGAAAAATAAAATTTCAATCAAACTCTTTTTTTTTTTTGAAGTTTAAATTTGATTAAGAA